TAAAAATTTGGCTTTCTTTGTGCCTTATAGGCTGCTTTAGGTTCGCAAGGCATTGTGGTAAAATGTACAGCCGCCATCTTTTTTTCCTACGGTGGATTGGTCGTGGATTAACTTCTCATTGGCTGAAAAGGTGGCGTGAGTTTCTTTTAAACTAGTTACTAGGCGTAGATATACAAAAGTAACGTAAACGCGAATTACTTTCGACACTTAAAGTAAAACCCCACAGCACCGCTTAATCTTGGTTTTGATCGCATCGAACGATGTTAGTGCAACTATTAAACGATCAGCTAAAAGTTGAGGGTGAATTAAAATTCGACGTTTAACTGGTTGTCTGAGCCGATTACGGAACTGTCGGTCGAGTGTGTGTGTTGGTATAGTAGAGTACTGAATCGGTCTTTTGAACCGAAACGACATCGTAACGAGTATTACATGAATAAATGATGCAGAATTTCGTCATGTTGTCCTCAATAGCGATCTCCAAGACCATTATAGAGCTGTTTTGACAAAGACCCCACAAAAGTGTAAAAGCGTACTCGATTGGTATTATTTTATTAATTGTTGCTTGGCTGAGTTCACGTTGTTTCAGCAAGAAGGAAGGGAAAGCATGAATACACGTGTTTGTGCTGTAGTTCCTTCAATCACGCTGAAACACCTTGAGCTATAACCAAGCTAACAGTAAGCCACCAGTATTTAAAAAACCTTTCGACATTGTCGCGTTTGCTTATACACTTTTGAAGGAAAACCTTTCTCAAAACGGCCATATGCACAGACGACGAATCAATAGTTCAGGATTAACGTGAATTTTGATTTTAGTTTTCAACTTTCCAATGAAGATTTAAAAAAATTCAGTCCTTTAGTTTTTACATTAACTTATCTCAAACTCTACAAAACACTAGCAGGGAAAACACTTCAGAAAAACCTCTACCAACTTTTAGTCTTGTTTGGGTATTTCAATCGACTCTCTATCAAGGCGGCCAGGGTGCGTAGAGACACTACGACTTATAAATAGTGGCTTGGCGCCCGTTTCTCGTAAACCTCTGAAACTTTTCGGGCCCGCAAAACCAATGTAAGTTAATCTGTATCTAAAAACAGAGAGGTGTATACGCCTGAAACTTCTTGTATGAAGGGAAACTCTGTTCATATTAAGAATATGTTAATAAAACAGCTCTGTAATCAAAAGGTTTGGGATTTTGTTAGAGCTTTTCGGCTGCGAGAACTTTTCGGAACCTTTGAAGAGCAGGCCCTAGGCCTCTAACTTGAGTATTTTGAATCACGGAGTCTGCTCTGTTTCTTCGCTAGGCCGCAGCGCATTTCGTAAGATATGAAGTTAAATTCCTACGTATGGTGTTCAGCATAACTCTGTGATGTGCTCTTCTTCAGGAAATTCATGCGTGAAGTCTTGCGGAAAGCAACGATCAAAAGGGCCTCCTTATCGCCAAATGAGGCTTGTGCAAGGAAAAACCCATTTTGAAGGCCGTGTAGAAATCTTCCATGACAGCAAATGGGGCACGATTTGTGATGACTCCTGGGATATCAACGATGCTAAAGTTGTCTGCAGAGAGCTGTTGCTAGGAGACGCCCGCGAGGCCGTGACATTTGGGAGATTGGGGAAAGGGAAGACGGAACAACCCATTTGGCTGTCACAGGTTAGAAATTGGAAATTTACCTTCATTATATTAGTTATAAATGTTAGAAGCAAATCTTTTATTTCCTATGTATTTCATAGACGTGCGAGCTTTCTAGCCATCAGGTCGAGTGGCAGGCAGTGAAAGATTGTCGAGTTTTATATGTAGGAGTATACCGACTGAATAATGTTATGGCTATGAAAATGATTTCTGCCGAGAGGTTTCCTCTTCACCTCACACAAAGAAGTACAAAAACAAATTAGAAGTCCGAACGGCGAAAATGAAAAAAAGCCTGGTATCGTGAACTTGTGATAAGGATCAATACGGGACTTGAAAACCATGGCTTAAAAATGCTAACCGTAATAAGACTTTGAAGAAACTGCGATATCGTCAGCCAAAACGAGTGCATATTCACGACGAAATCATTTTGGAAACTCGAGTTATCCTATCTACAAGCTATGAACAGAAGCCTATTTTATTTTTTCCGTCAGTTCACTTTTTATTGTGTTTCTCCAACTATTTTGTCTAAACATTTCGATCGCGGCTGACAAGGTGGCCGTTCACCTTTAATGTAGTCCTATACTGCCCTCGGCCGCTTTTATTTGGTGATGCATGCTTTTTACCTCCCGTAATTCTGCCATGGACATTTCCGGCCAATTTGCCCCCTCAGAGAGAAGGCTTTAACGAATTCGATTATCCCGTGCTCGGCAAAATGACCTGTTAGGGCACGTATTTTTTTTTTGTGGGCATGTATACAGTTACACCAAGACAATGCTATATCCTACTACTCCTTGGTTAAAGACAAACAACTTAGGCAGCGTCCAGACTACGCCGGAGAAATTTGAAAACGCAGCTTTATTTCTACGGTTTGGCCTACCGTCCACACTAATCCGTCACGAAAACGAAGCTTTTCAAAAACGCTCATCAGACCGGAGGAATTTGAAAACGCCGGCTTTTCAAATTCGTGTGGACGGAAAACATTTTGAAAACGGAGCTTTTTAAAAACGATGACGTCACGATAATCACGTGATTTCCCTGACCGAGTTTTCCTCAACCACAAATCCAAAATGAACGCTGGTTGTTCGGTTTTCAAATTACTCCGGCGTAGTGTGGACGGAAAACATTTGATACGTTTTCAGCGTGAAACCTCCGTTTTCAAATTCCTCCGGCGAAGTGAGGACAGGGCCTTGTCTGGCGCGCCTTTAAATTATCTTGCATGCCTTTCTTATTTACAGGTCAATTGTACGGGCAACGAGACGCGGTTGGAAAACTGTGACCATCCTCCGTGGGGGAAACACTCCTGTGGTCATTTTGAAGACGCTGGTGTTCGATGCGTGGGTCCGGACACGACACGAGAATGCGTGGACGAGTGTGGAGACGGCTATTTCAAAGTCAAGGGGAGAATGGAATGCGGAGTGTGCATGGCTTCGTGTTTAAAGTGCGCCAACTCTGCGAGCAACTGTACATCGTGTGATAAACCTCGCTTCTTAAAAGGTAATGCCTGTGGATTGTAGAGTGGTGTGTAATGCCTCTAGAGTTATCGCACGGCCAATATCTACGTTATTAAATGGTGCAGTAAGGTAAAGTTTGTGTTCGACCCCAGTAACCTATCCCCAGTAACCTATCGGCGCTGCTGATTTCCGTTTCGTAAACGGTCGATGCCATTTTTAACGGTTGATGCCATTATTGGTAACAAAGCCTTTCAGAATGGACGATGCCATATCTGCATTAGTTTAGGCGTGGACAAGGTAGAAACTGGTTATAAACTGTTGATAGATTAAAACGCACTCACCAAATGCTTAATTGTTCATATTCACACTGGTTTGCTTGCGGTTAGCTTTTACTTCATGGTTGAGGCAACTCTATCATTAACATTCAAAAAAAGAGTCATGTTTTAAAATTAAATTTTGTGGAGATTTGGCGGATCAACCTGGTGGTGTAGTGGTATAAGAGGGATGTTAGGAAACAGAGGTTCCGGTCTCGATACTGGGCGTTTACTTAGAAATTTTCTTTTTTCTTTCATTTAGTAGAGAAAAATTCGTGGATTGTTAAAAATTGGCATTAATCGGTATCAATCGTTCACGAAACGGAGAACTACATCGGCGCTTATCTCCGGTTTCCGTAGCATGAAGCGGCAAGGAGTATTTCTACTCCACCCTCGGTGGGATGCTAGTCCATCGAAGGGTTACCCCCAGCCTTAAATTTACCGCTATCCATTTATACCCTTGAGTGGAGGGAGGCACTGTAAGAGTTTGGTTTTGGTTTGGACTGCAATCCATTAGAGTGTCTGTTACAACAGTAAGGTTACTACGCTCATCTCCTATAAAAAACTCGCTCTCAAAGTCTAACTGTTAATTCGAATGAGAGAAAATCTCAGGAAATTAGGATAAATTTGTGCCTAATTAGATTATTAGTGCCTAAAAGCCGCTTTTCATTTCCTTTCAAGGTAATACTTGTCAAACTTACTGTGGAGACGGTTTCTATGGAGATACCACTGACCGGAAGTGCAAACCTTGTGATCCCGGATCAGCATGTCGCACGTGCGCTGATGGAACTTCTCCTTCTGCTTGCACAAGTTGCCATGACGACCAGTACCTAAATGGAACCCGGTGTGTTGTCAGCTGCTCTCCGCTCCACGTGGCTCAAAAGCGACACCTGCGTTTGGCGGGAAACCGGCCGACCGCCCTCGAAGGCCGCGTCGAAGTGTATCGTTCTGGGGCCTGGGTTACCGTATGTGACCAGACATTTGATTTCCGCGAGGCCACAGTGGTCTGTCGTGAGCTCGGCTTAGGCGCTGCTGTCAAGGCTGTCAAAAGAGCAGCTTACGGTCGAGGCTACGGGCGCGTTTGGACCGATATTCTTAACTGCACCGGTCGAGAAAGCTCAATTCATGACTGCCCCTTGGTAAAACGAAGTTTTAGCTCGCTTTGCTACCATGGTAACGACGTCGGCGTGGTATGCGCGGGACCCGTGATGAAACAGATAACCAATCAGTGCGTGAAACACTGTAATTCAGGATGGTTTAAAAATGACATGGACGTCTGCGAGACCTGTGCTTCACAGTGCTTTGAGTGTATGGGAACAAGTACTCGTTGCACAAAATGCATGGCGCCCAAATTCTTAAAAAATGATGCTTGCGTTGAGAAGTGCGCGGCGGACGAATATGGCAACATCCCCGCTCGCGAGTGCCAGAAGTGTAACACGGACATTTGCGTCACCTGCAGTGATGGCTCTGACAACAGCAACTGTACCTCATGCAAGAAACCCAAGGCACTTATGAACGGCAAGTGTGCAGACAACTGTGGACCGAAGATGTACAAGAAAAACGGTCGCTGCGTTGAAGATTGTGGGATTTCCATGTACAAGTTTCCAGGTAACTTCTCTTGCCTACCTTGCCCTGACCAATGTATCGCATGCGAATTCAAGTCGGGGAAACCCGTGTGCACAATTTGTAATCCTCCTCTTGTGCAAGACGAGGCTAGCGGGACATGTGTGGTAAATTGCACTACTGGAAAACATGCAGTGCCTTTCATCAACTTCACATTAAGTACCTCGCCATATTTGAGACTGTCTCACGGTGTGGATTACCTGGAGGGCCTGTTAGAAGTGTACCACGATGGCATCTGGGGGACTGTATGCGATGATGGGTGGGATTTTGCCGAGACGAACGTTGTCTGTAGGGAGTTGCATCTTGGTAAAGCTGACACCAGCGCTTCATTGGGTCACATTCCCAAGGGAACTGGCAAAATGTGGCTAGATGACATGTTCTGCGTCGGCACCGAGAAATCCTTGCTGGACTGTCGCCATCGTCCTTGGGGTCAGTCAAACTGCCAGCATAGCGAAGACACTGTCCTTCGATGTACCGGACCGGGCGTGCGCACGTGCAAGGCGAAGTGCCCCGGTGGCTTCTTTCCGAAGGNTAACCTTTAAGCATACGTTTTACTAGCGTAATGGTTCATGTACGTGCCGAAACAAGCCATGAAAGATTTTTCCGAGAAGGCTAAATCTGTCTTGAAACAGAGAAATCCGGAAATTTCGATACGCTAAACCTCCTCTCTATATATAGAGCAAAGTTCTCTACATGTTGGCAACAAGCAGTTTTGGTCGGTTCGCGACCAAACTGGAAAAGAAAAACTTGTTGGTTGCCCAGTCACACAAATTCGTCACGCTAACGAGCCCGTCACGCAAATTTTCTTTTGTTTTCAGTGGGACTAAAATGCGTAAAGGATTGTGGGGTTGACATGCAGCCCGTGTCCGCGCTGTTTCCGCCCAAGCCAACGAAACCGTTGGTTCGTCTAGTGGATGGAAAAAGTAAACAGGAAGGGCGAGTTGAAGTATTTTACGGCGGCCAGTGGGGAACTGTTTGCGACGACGACTGGGACCTGAAGGAAGCGTCAATTGTTTGCAAAGAACTTGGCTTTGGAAGAGCTAGAGAAGCCCCTAAACACTCGAAATTTGGGAAAGGTGAGTCTTTCTGAATAAATACTGCTATTTTGAATAAATACTGCTATTTTGCTCTTGTAATCCACGTTGCACGAGGGTTACGTCTATTAGGCGAAGAGAAATGATGGTGATGATGACGATGACGATGACGATAACGATGACGATGATGATGAGGACGATGACGGCAACGATGACGACGACTACGACGCGGTGACGACGGCAACGGCGACGATGCCGACAACGACAACGACGGCAAGAACGACGATGACGATGTGGGAGCGACGGTGACGACGTGGGAGCAACGGTGACGATATGGGAGCGACGTTGACGACGTGGCAGCGACGNTTCCCAGCTTAGCGTTATATAAGTGAGGTGTTTGACTTGTTGAATAGTGGAGTGTTTTACATTTCTCCTTTTTCAGCCGTGGCTTCCAAGCCTCCAGAATTCGATCGAACGCCGACTAAAAAGACAGTCAACGCGCAAGACGTGATCACCCAGCAGTGTCGCTCCAAGCCTCCTCGGATTTTTCCCACCGTGCAAGACTGGCGAAAAGATGGGAAGCCTCTCCTTGCAGAGGATATAGCCAATAGTCGAATCGTTTCGAACGCTGGTCAGCTGTTGATAAAATCCGCCACGAGAGAAGACAGTGGCAATTATACCTGTACTTTAGTCAATAGCGCCGGAAACATCACTAGCAACAGATCTGAAGTTATCGTCAAAGGTAACATGTTGTTTTAGACTGAATTTTGACCGTGTGTGCTTTCCGTTTTTATAGAAAAACCGTTTTTACATAACGACAACAACAACGACTTTTATTTCACCCCAGAGCTAGAAATAATTTATTAAAATATTATTAGTGCTGGCTACCCGAAATAACGTAAGTGTAAAAATGCCAGGCAACCAGTTAGAAGAAAAGATATCTCACATGTTTAGCCAAGGGACACGAACAAATAAACATATGCACATACAAAATAACCAAAAGGAAAACCAAATGAAACCGGCCTTTTCACTGAGCATTTTTCGGAATAAATGGAATACCATTAGAAAAGAATGTAGTGATTAGAAAATCACTAAAATTATCATTCGCTCTTTCGCGCTATTCCCATGCCCCTTGATGAAATACGCGGTCGTTCCATTTGCAAATGAAATGGAACAGTCACTGTTTCTTTGGGAGGTTTTCAAATGTTGTCAAATGGTACACTGTCATTTTGTTTGTTGAAAACTGCGCTACTCCATTTGACGAAAAGTTTTTACCAGTTTTCTTTTCCTCAGGGAAAGCGCCCAGTGTCATTTTTGTTGCATTTAAGTAGTACGTTGGGTTTTCAATTGTAGTGTTTTATCGTTGAATGAGTAGGAAAACAGTCGAAAAAAATAAAAACGTTAAGTCTGTAGGTCAATTTAGTTTGAGAGTAGGGTCGGTGCTTGATTCCTCTCTTGCAGGCAACGGGAAAATCCCCCATGGGAAAAAAGGTGGTGACTAGTACATATACCCATAGCTCTTAGCGCAAGAAAACTGTAACCACTATATAAAAACGTACAGAAAAGTTGTAAAATCTTCAAACTTCGGCTGCACAATGTCCTTTGTACAGGAACAAATATTATAAAAATTTGGCTTTCATTTTGCCATAAAGTCTGTGTTAGGTTCAAAAGGCGTTGTGGTAGAATGTAAAGCCGCCATCTTTTTTCCTACGGTGGATTTCACACTGATGATACAGGTCAACAGAAATGTTTTTGATTGGTTGTTATTTGCGCGGGAAAAGTCAAAGACGAGCACCGACCAATAAGGGACAGAGAGACTGGTTACGTCATCAGGAAGGACTGTTTGGGGTGGAATCTTGAACATTTCCTCAACGAAGGAGAATTTAGTGCACGAATAGAAAAAGCAAGTTTACTCACTTTTCTCAACTGATGGTTTTCTCGTGTTTTTGTCTTTCTACACAGAGGCACCGCGTATTCTCGGCGTCCTGTCTGCAGATGTCAGCAGGGATGGCGATGCGAATTTAAGCTGTATCGTGTCGTGTTACCCTCCAAGTAATATCACGTGGAAATTCAAAGGGAAGAATCTCACTCGCTCTGCGAGATACGAGTTCATAGACAGCAGTTATATGATGAAGGTTAAAAACGTTCAATTTGAGGACGCAGGGCTTTATGAATGTTCCCTGATCAACGAACTTGGGGAGGCCCGCGCAAATGCGTCTCTTATCGTCGGATGTGAGTGTTGGAATTACTGCTCATAAACGGTCGCTTTTTTCCTTTCAGTTAAGAAATATTTCTTGCTATTTAAACGTTACTCGAAAGCTAAAATATGTCATAAGTCTTGACAATTAAGAAACTAATAATATATATCGTTTTGCACTGAAAACTTTTTATAATGTAAAATACCCTTTGATTTTAACGTGGTACCCTCGAGTACAGTAAAAGTGATAAATTGGTTGCTTAATTTTATTAACATGGAAAGATTTTTCTCGTTGCGTGGGTGATTTAGAGCCAGATTCTCTAACTCACAATCTGGCTTCTTTTTGTTCCATTTGCGTTTTCAAAGGCTAAACTCTCTTCATTGATAAATACGTAAACATTGCACGAAATACGCGTTAATTTCAAAATGTTTCAATTGCTTT